GTGCCGAAGCCGAAGCCGACGTCGACGTCGAAGCCGAAGTCTCCTGTCGCAGGCCGGCGGTCCTCGGGACGAGAGGCAGAGTCGCGTCGAGGCGACCGGCAGATGACACTTCGGACGAGTCTGAAAAAGAAAAGCGGTCAAAGGCATCACTCGTCGTCACCCTCGCCAGGTCAGCAGAGGTCTCGTCACGGAGGTTCTTCCGCTGCGGAGCACCGGAAAAACGTGGCCAAAAGCGATGAAGAAAAATTTCCTTTTGAGAAGTAGGAATCCGTGAATTAGCTTTGAAATTTAGAAGCGGGTTGACATCGTTTTTGTAACTTGGTAGTGTTGTCATGGCGACTTGGCTGAACATTGACTGTGGACTTGGTACGCTGGCGATTATGGTAACTACAAAAGCAGAGGACTTCGGACAAGGGGGGGTGGGGTTAACCAGATTGCCGTGACAACACGACCAAGTTGCGAAAACGAGGTCAGCCGCACCATTTTGGTCTTGAAGTTGTTCATTCCGGCTTGTGCGGACTAGTCCGCGGTACACCGTCCCGTCAACTGAACCCATCGGGGCTGACCTTTTGTCTGGAACCACCGAGACAGATCTACAAGCAGGCCTCTTCGAATGGCCTGAGGGTGCACCAACGTGTGCACGGACGTTGTTTCCATGCGACACTCTTCGAAATAGCGACCTCAAACTGTGCTGTCGAGAATCTAGAGGTTCAGGACTCGTGGTTCCGCTGCAAAAGTGAGTTGACCACCTCGACGGAGACTGCGCTGCCTGGCCACCTCGAAATGAGGTACACCAATTTGGCGACCAGTTTTCCCATTCGTCCGACGACAGGCACTTCCAACATGAAACGAAGGGAGTGTTTGGTTTTGCAGTAAAGTTAATTTTTTCATACTTTCTGGACTGGAATGCACTTTATGACGGGACTCGAACCAAGCACTTGCTGGTTAAACGGGTCACAGTTTCCTCCCGTCAAGTGACATGACAAGCGAGCATGAGTTTAGCAACAAAATAAACTTGCCTTAATTCACATCAGATAAATGAGATGTGTTCACACTACTCCGTTCAAGCTGATAAAGGACCGGTAGTTGAATTTGTTTGAGTCTCCATCGAATTTCACATAACCATGCCAAGTCACAATTGCCGTCCACTCCTGCTTGGATGAGAATACTTTTGGCGAAGCGAGGCTATGAGAAATTCACACTCACTCATTAAGGAAGTGTTTAAAGTGAAGTTTTGTTTTATACCTTAAAGCTGTGTTGTTAAAATAAAATGTGAT